GGCTGCTACTACTACTACTACTACTGCTGCTGCTACTACTACTACTACTGCTGCTACTACTACTACTACTACTGCTGCTACTACAACTACTACTACTGCTGCTACTACAACTACTACTACTGCTGCTACTACAACTACTACTACTGCTGCTACTACTACTACTACTACTGCTGCTGCTACTACTACTACTACTGCTGCTACTACTACTACTACTACTGCTGCTACTACTACTACTACTACTGCTGCTACTACAACTACTACTACTGCTGCTACTACAACTACTACTACTGCTGCTACTACAACTACTACTACTGCTGCTACTACTACTACTACTACTGCTGCTGCTACTACTACTACTACTGCTGCTACTACTACTACTACTACTGCTGCTACTACTACTACTACTACTGCTGCTGCTACTACTACTACTACTGCTGCTACTACTACTACTACTACTGCTGCTACTACAACTACTACTACTGCTGCTGCTACTACTACTACTACTACTAATATTTTAGCTTCTACTACTACCACTACAGCAATTACTACCATTACTAACACTGCCGTTACTACTACAATTACTACTAGTATTTAAGCTACTACTGCTACTACTACTACTGCTGCTGTTACTACTACTACTACAAATACTCCTACTACTACTGCTGTACTGAGAATTGAATTAATGGATTTAGTGTTAAATTAAAACTTTTTAAATCCACCAAACATTTTATTACTAATAACGCGAGCATATTATCTGCACTAGGCTTATGACCCACCCATCTGACGAATCTCGAACAATGAGAATTCTTAATATGGTTTTATGACACTCTTCGTATTTTCATAGGTTCTTAGTTTTAGTTTAGAGATAATTAAAATGAATTATTATTATATTAATTAGTTCTTATTACATTAATTAGTTTAAGGGTTTGTTATGAACTGTTTAAAGATTTTTTTAAATGTATAATTATCTTAATTGAAGATGTTCTCATAAGCTATTTTAAGATTTTTTCAGGGAATTAATTTGAAAGAAATCTCGCCATATGTAAGTTGAAAGAAATCTTGTTTCGTTTGGTTTCGTTTCGTTTGGTTTCGTTTCGTTTTCAAACAGGGTATGTATATGATATACACACTTAGGTCCTACAGAAAAGGCACTAATAACATTTAACTACATTGCACACATCTAGAGAAAACTTAATTGACATAGAAGCAACCATAATAATCACATTCATTTTATGTCATCATCTCCATTGTAGTCTGTATCATCATCGTCATCATCATCATTATCATCATCGCCATCGTCATCATCATCATCATCGCCATCGTCATCATCGTCATCAGCACTATCTCTAGACGGCCTTCAGCGTAATTAGTATTGTAATTTTCTTTATTCGTGTCATTTCCATTAATTATTATTATCATTATTTTTTGTCGTTATTTATCATTTGTTCGGCGTCTTCGTTTTTATTCCTATTATTATTATTATTATTATTATAATTATTATTATTATTTTTATCCTCATCGTTATTACGTGATACGCTTTCATTTGAACGTCATCGTCGTCATATTAACAACAACAACAACAAAAACAACAACAACAACAACGACAACAACAACAACAACAATAATAATAATAATATAGAAATAAAAAGATTAATAATGTATAGTACAAAAATAAATACGTCTATTATTAATAATAAGTTAAGAAGTCAGAACATGCTTACCCACAAACTAACGCATCTAAACACAGGCATACATGTGCTCTTTTTCTCTCTCTCTCTCTCTCTTTCTCTCTATCTCTCAATCTCTCTCTCTCTCTCTCTCTCTCTCTCTTTCTCTCTCTCTCTCTCACACACACACACAATCACACAATCACACACAATCACACACACACACAATCACACATATATACACACACACAAACACACACAAACACACACAAACAAACAAACAGATACCTGGAATACAACATCACCTCAGATGGAACTCTGGAGAGGTCAGACACCGCCAAAAATCTCATCTACCGCTATTTCTACGCATCTACACTCTATGCCTTACTCTTCTTCATTCTACCCCTTCTGGCCCTAGCCTACCTAAATGCCCGCCTGATAATAGCCCTTAGACGCGGAAAAAGGCACTGGCTGAATTTGAAATCAACTCAAAGGCGGGAACAAAACTTGACAATAATCCCACTGACTGTTGTGTTGGTTTTTGTCGTCTGTGCTACACCGGCCCTGGTTGTCAATGTCCTGGATTCCTATGATCAAGAGATCTTTGAGTGAGTGTTTATTTATTTTATTTTTTTTATCTTTGGTAGTTTGTTGTTGTGTTTTTGATACTTTTTAACTAGTTTTATTAGT